AACATTTAATATTCTTATTAAAAATTGCCTCCTTTTAATGTATCGATCAAAAGAATTCAATCTTTACTCCAATAAATTTCACTCACCAGTTGCTGCATCGTCGTCGCGACGCCGTCGTCTGTCCCATCAAACGCCCTTTGCTCTTGTCCTTTTCTTACGACGATGCAGTTAAATTCTTCGGTTAACACAACGAGCCGTACTTTTACAAACACGAGACACTTCGCACTGCACTCGCAATCCCGCCATTACGCGCTATTCGCCCTCGACGGGAAGCGCCAGGTATCGCAACGACAACAGTCCTCGTGATAAACCGAACTTCTCTACTACGGAAGGAGAATCAACACGTCCTTTATCGTCTCGCGTTCCCAGCGAACTGACGCAGTAATCCAGGCGAGAACACTCGCAAGTCGCACGGCGAGGACACGACCGAGCGACAACAACAAACGGTCGCGACAACAACAAACGGTCGCGACAACAACAAACGGTCGCGACAACAATAAACGGTCGCGACAACAACAAACGGTCACAACACAACGATCGCGGCACAAACGACGGCCAACAATCTCGAACGACGCAACGATACAGTCTTTGTTCGACTTGAATAATTCGCTCTGACCGTAGCCGACTGCTCTATCCGACACTCTCAAAATCTTCTCGTGGCTGTGCGAATAAAAAACTTACCGTTACGAGGCATTCGCGAGGAACATTGTAAGAAATGCGACCAAGTTCGCGCGATACAATCGCGATCCGAAACCCGTACCCGGCTACGGGGTTCACTCGCACGGCGTGCACCCCATGCGAAGCAGACGCCCGTAGGGACGAGGCTGACTCAAAAATCACTACGGCATGGGCTCCTCCTGAAGTTAGCGCCAGACCGCACGCAATTCGCGATTCGCAATTCGCACGTTATTCGACTTATGAGACTTGTGTAATCAGGAGGTCCATTGTAATCTTGAAACGAGATGAAAATTACAAAAATGAGGAAATTTATTAATTTTTGACAAAGTTGCAGATGCTCTAGTGAATTCCTTCACTTTTATAATTTTCATCTACGTTTTAAAATATACAATTACCTTCTGTTTTTTTGTGGTTAAACTAATGTACACTAAAATGAAATAAATATACATATATTTGAAATTTGACAAAAAATGAGATGGAAATTTTTAGCGCAGTCCAGTGGAAAAATAAAAAATAAATCTATAAATAGTGTGAAAGAATAGATTCGTCGAATTTCTCATTTGTTATTTACCATTCGCGAATATTCGATTCGCTAGTAGAGTGATTTTTTAACGAAATCAACAATTTCATGTATTACGCTACATGTTAAAATTTATGTTTACTTGCGTATTTTCGTGATTCGCATCGGTAAATCATGAATTATAAACGAATCAAAAATCATGAATGACGAATAATGAATCGCGAATAGTGTGGAAGATCCACTTTCCGCACAATTATAAACAAAAGTGCATTATTGAAAAAGTACATTCCCGTATAATTTTATAACACGAATGCAAAATTATATTATATTAATTAAATAAAAGTACATTATCGAAATTAATAATGTTCCGTTTCATTGTAGAACAATGAAATGTACGAGACTCGCAAACTATCATTTCACTTTTTTGTTTCAAATTTCTATTCATATCTCGATTGATTGATTATACAGATTATTTCCACCAGCGATTATCAAAATATTTAAGAATTTACCGACACACGCGTCTATTTTATCGGATAGCAACGCGCGTTTTAGTTCGGCCTCAGGGAGGGAGCTTCTCCTGTCATTCTCTAATCGCGATATTCAAATACGCCCGCTGCGAAATGAACCTTTCGATTGCCAGAGAGGTTTGGGCTTAAAGACCATCTGTGCCTGAAAGATAGCTGGACTCTCGTTAATTGTACTCGAACTAATTTCATCGCGTTTATTAACTTAAAGACAGGCCGTCTCGAAGATCGTAGAAATTGATCGACTATAACGACGCCATGACAATCTGGCGATATATACAGTGAACTTTCTTGGGGATTTTAGAATTACAAGTTTTGAGGAGCCAACGACTGAGTTGAGAATGCCGCCAACGACAAACGCAACGTGCGATACAAAAACGAAATTTGATATGCCGCGGTTGGATACAGAGAACAAAGATGTTTGAAAGAAGATTAATTAAAAAATGGCTTATCGGTATCGAGATCGTTGAAATGTTTGCGAGTTGGCCGCCGCACGCTCACTAGCGAAAGAATTTGAACAAGGCCGTCGATAAAGGAAGTCTCCTATTTGTCGGCAAAAAACCGAGATAACCAATCAAGTCGCGCGATTCGAATTCAAATTCGAGAATTTAAATTTTTAATTCCATGCAAAAATTCAAATGCAAAGATTCAATATTTACTGTTAAATAAAAATTATTCAATAACATTTATAAAAAATATTTATGGCTTATAATAAATAAAAAATAAAAATAATTAGAAAATAGATCACTTTTATGTAAAAATTAAATTTTAAGAGAACTTTTCCAAGAGAACAATTAAGTCTAAATAAAATAATTCTATAAGTAAATAAAAAATAGGAAGTAAAAAGAATATTAGATTAAGAACAGAAAAAAATCAAACAATAGTTTATTTAATATTTTAATGAAATAATATTTATTGCAATATAGTACGAGAGTATATATTTATTACATGGTTTATCGTACAAAATATGACATACAATTATACAAAATATGACATTTCATTATTATACAGCATAAAATTTTTTAAACAAATAAATTCTGTGATAAATCAGTTTTTCATGGCACATTAAATATAAATGTTATTTCGGTGTGTTTGGGTTCTGTACTATAAAATTTGCTTAAAAGCATATAGATTTAATTACAAAATGTTGTTTTAAATATACATACATTTGCATGTTTCATATAATAATCATTTGTTATATTCAAAATTTATACTTTTATTACAATACTAAAATGATATTTTCAAGTTTAATACAATATTTTACCTAGCAGAATATAAATAAAATAAGTTTTGATGATATTTTTATAAAGGTCCAACATTATGTCGCAATTATATTTTATATATAATTAATTAATCCAGGCTATGTACTATATCCGGTTAAAAATCATTAGGAATTATTTACATCGATTTCTTGTCAGACTGATAAATCGAAGCAAAAATATAAGTGGTGATTAAGATCATCATCGATGTTACAGATTATATTTTAGATTCTTTTTCTCATCTTCATTATTATTTTTTTATCGTATGGAAGAGATAGGCGCACAGGTGCACAAGCGTACACTTCGCTACGATGCACAACGCTATCGACCGTCGAACTCCCCAGTGCCTTATCGGATGGTCGTTAACCTGAACACTCGCTATTTCCTTCCTTCTACCTTCCTTCCATAGGCGACTCATCCTTTCCGCAATCACTAAGATCGTCCATCGATAGTCCCCCAGGGCAAATATTCTTCCTTTGAGAAATGAAACGGAAAACGCGGCGTCACATGAGAATCGTCATGTTCAGATTTATGTAGCGAAAAGATAATGTTTGAAAGACTCTCGTTGCACATATTCCCTTTTTTATTATAATTTTGTTAATATATTTCCTTACTAATTAAATATTTTATAAATTATTCTGCAATATAATCTTTTCTTGTGACATTAAGCTTTTAGACATAATTAGATAAGTTTTTTTTATGATAATAAAGTTAATAACTTTTTTCAAGTATGAAATGCAAGAGATGAATGATAAAATAATAAATGCAATATTATTCTCTTGTTTTATTTTCTGGTAATAATTTTGTAAAAAAAAAAAGTAAAATAATTCGCCTTTACAAACGATAATAGTACCAACTTGAAAGAATGCGAAGCACGTGCGAGAAATCATGACAACGACAATCACACGTATAATTTAACACGGCAAACAACAATGGTTCCATTTAAAATGAGATAAAACTTTGCGATGCATGTTAAAACGCAAAGCACGATGTTAAACTAAACGATGTTAAAATATTAATTAAATATAAAAATATAAATTAAAGAAGAAAAAGAAAAAAGATTCTACAAATAATTTATTTAAACTTCAATTATAAGTATATCCAAAAAAAAAAAACATATTAAAAACATAAATGGATTAGGATCGTTACAGGATCTAAGTCTAAGACTCTTCGCAATCTCAGGACTTTAATAATAACCTTTTTTTATATTAAACAAATAACATAATAAGCCGAGCTAAGTATTTTTTTACTTTTTAAGGATAGCATCTCGCATATCTACTCTCCGTGATTATTTCTTTTATTTCTTCGCCAATGGCGACGACGACGTCGACGAGAGCGGGAAAATAGGAGAGCACGAGGAAGCGAAGAGAGGAGCGAGATTTTTGGGTCGGCTTCCTGCGGGCCTCCGCTGCGTTCGATGCCGAGCGAAGCGGAGTAGTCACGCTCGACGAGCCCGAGGCTCAGGCTCGAGTGTTGCTCGTCGACGGTGCCCAGTCTCCGGGTTAATGCGCGGATTCAAACACACTCGGTGTCTCCAGCTATGATCCAGGTTAAAAGAGAAAATTTGACGCGTAGCTCGATAATCGATGGCGAATGACGCGAGTGTGTTCGCGGAGCGATTGATTTCCGAGTTAACGGCAATTGTCTCCGTCCTTGTCGTTTCTAATATATTCCAATGATATTGACTAAATTAACGTTACGTTAGTTCTAGCTGGGTATTACAGGCTGATCGGTTGTGGACATAAACGCGGCATCAGATATAATAAATGCGAGGAAAAAGAATTGCATTGCGGAGAATGAAATAGCTTCGGTGCGAGTGTACGGGAGAAAAATTTATGGGAGTTCAATATGAGAAACTAAGTGCTAAGAGTCAAGTAAATAAATACAAAGTACTAATGTAAAAAAGAGAAAAAGTAAATAAAGGCTGTTTCAAGTCAAGGCAAGGTCGAATTGTAAATAAGAAAAGAAAGACGCAAGAATTGGGAAAGAAGAAACGAAAAGAAGAAACGTTCTGAAAGGAGAAAGAAGAATTTATATTCTGATTTATTTATTATAGATTTATTTAACATTTATTTAACATTTTTTGGACATACCAAGATGACAAGATTTACTTCATTCTTTGGCAACTTTTCTCCAGATACTGTGACCAAACTCGCGATAGAACGTGGCGAACGCTGCAAGGTTTGTTAGAGAAAGAACAGTTTTATTGAATTGCCTAAAAATTTGACTAAATACAGATTTGAAAATAATTTTGTTGGACTATCAAAAGAATTATGTAGGACATTCAAATTGATAGCTAGAATATCAAAAACTTTTGTAATATTATCATTTTACTTAAACGTCTTACATAATAATTTTTAATAACAACAAAATTACTTTTAGATCTATATGTGATTAAATTTTTATAAAAATTTTTATTTTTATTAAAATATCTAAAGAATTTTATTAAAAATTTTAACAAAAGTTTTTAAATATTTTGATCAAATTCTTTCCACTCTTCACACTCTTCACTATGCAATCGTAAGATAAATAAAAAGATTAATAAGTAGAAATCTATTAATAAAAAATGTAATCGATAAATTTACGTAATGCTTAATAATTATATACATTTCTTAATCTTATCTTAATCTCTATAGATGCATGAAAGATTGGCATTCGTGTTTTGTTTACATTTATGACAATTGCACTTATCTTTAATGACACGTAATCTATAATAATTAATAAAATATAATGTCCGCTTGTTCGATTAGCGCCAAAGATATCACAATCATGGATTTTTCCATCACCATCACCATATCGAGCTTATATCTTGTTATCACTCGGTACATTTTGTAATATAATACTCACTTGAAGATAAATTCTATTTGTTTTTAAATTATAACTCCAAGATATCACCACCTCTTTAGAAATAACGGTACATGTTTGTACGAATAGATTAATCGGGAGTTTTGTCGACGTCCTATGTTTATCGACGTCCCGTTTTTGCAATTTAAAAATCTGTCTCTCCGTTTCCGACGTTGGGGAACGATAAATTCGCGACGATTTGTCGGCAATCCGTTTTCGAATTTCCACCCAAAATCCATGATTCCGATTTGGCTGGACAATACTTTATTTTCCAGATGCCATTTGACGCAATTTCCTGCATATCTTAAACGCAAAAATCGATTGGTGCTCATAGTGATCATATAAAAAAAAAAAAAACAACATTCCACAACTTCACGAAATATAATGAAACTGTAATATCTTACATTTGTATTTATATTTGATATTTTTCTGGTTTTGCAATTGTAATCTTATGCACTTAGAAAATTCTAAAAGAATCGTATGAGGTATGCAATCCAGGCTATTCTGTAACGATAGAATATCAGCATCGTTATATCATTATTCTGCACCATTATCATCTCTCGTAATCGCGTCTCTTACACTTGGCTGCGCTCGATATGAATATATCGGTGTTAATAAATTCAACGCCGCGGGTGTTACGAAAATGCGTATACGGGAGAGTGCCTGTGGGATCATTTATTTTAAAGCTTCCCGGCTTTCGCGGATCAATTATCTCTGCACGCGAAATTGGGTCCACGAATTAGCCATAGTCGCGCAAATCGCGACTAGAGAGAAATCGCGAACAAACGAGGCCACATTTAGAAACTTTATCAATAACGAACGCAGCAATAGATGATCGAATCCTTAAACAATGAGGGACAGTCAAAAGCAATTTTATATTCAACGTACGTATTACAAGACTCGTTTAAATTTAATTTACAGTATTTATTTTATTCATTTTATATTTTTTATCATCAAAAGTTACTGTAAAAATTAAAAAAATTTTTTTATTAGTTATGTAATGATACGTCGATCAATTGTTAATTTTAATTTCCCTCCTGTGTCAGGACTAACAAATTTGACGCTGTTTCAGCATTTGTTTAATTAATGCAATTAGTCGTAAATCTTCAAGATAAATTTTGTAGGATGAAAATCTCTCGTGTGAGATAAATTTTCGAAACGATTAGACGACGAAATTCTAATTCTCAGTGGTCAGATATTATTACCGGGTGTTAAGACCTGGACAATAGTAGCTATTCGAGGAATTAGGGACACCAGTGCCGTGGTATCTCTGTATACGCGCGACACGAGGAAACGATTTGATGCTTTGGGAAGGGAAGTCTGCTCTCGTAGGAGGGCACCGTGCCAGGAAGCCGATATTGCTGCGAACGAGACCTCGCGGAGTGTGTTTGTGTGCATATATATGTGTAGGGTGCAACCGGCTCATTGCCCGACAGTTAGCTTTCATCGAAAGGTCATGCGAAATTGATTATTGGACTGACGAAAATCTTTTATTAGGAAACTGTTTGGGAAGCTGGAGTCGTTCAATTGTCCAAAAACAAAACAAAAAAAGTTTTACTTATTCAGAAATAAAAAAAAACTTCATTTTATATTTACTTATAATGTTTACTCAAATATTACTCAAGTATTTTCAAAGCGTGTGTCGGAATGTGATATTTTTAAGAGTACAATATACTGTCTATAAATAGTTTAATAATTTATTTAATAATAAATAGTTTAATTATTACTTATATAAAACATTTTTCTTTTTTAAATCTATAAATTTATTGTAATAAAAATTATAAATTTTAATAAAAGTTGCAAAAAGTACTTAAGTTTCTTAATTACGTTTTAACTTCTAACAATTTAAAATTTTCTATCAATTTTACTTTCTTATTTAACAATTTTAATTTTTTATTTAACTTGACACTTTTGCGATGTAATCTTTTAATAAATTATAAAACGTTTACAAGTATTTGATTTCAAGATTAAAGCAAACAGGCAGCGCAGTGCAATTCTTTTCATTCTTTCGTGGTTTTCGAGTCATTGTTGCGGTTTACTCTGGAAGAGTCTTCTTTAGAATCTCTTCGTACAAAAAGATGAATATGCCAGAAGATTGGTCTTCCTCCCTTTGTGGATGTCAAATAAAATTAACAGAAAAAAAAATAAGCAGTCACAGAATAGCTCGCATGCAACTTTTGTACAACGAGACAGAAGATAAGAAATAATTGTTATAACAAATTATACATCGCATTATTAGTAATCAGTATTCTTACTTTTGATAACAGTTGCGCAATTATGTCGTAACAAAATTCACGAATAATTCATATATTCCAGGAACCAATAACAATATATCTTTATGTACTAATCGTAAATTAATTTTCTATTAATATTCAATTTGATTTGCAGATTTCTTTATCTGTAAATAGATAGTTATTTTTCTAATCGCTGCAAGTAATTTCGTTCTATTGTGTTCGAATAATCATAAATTGAATTTCCCTGTCTTATTCGCGTGTGCTTCGCTAATAACGTCCTAATAAATCATTATCATGTTTACGCGATGAAAGAGTGAATTTTGAAGATCTCTTGTATCGTTGGAAAGATAAAGATAAAGATTATTTTAAGACGTGAACGATGCGAGAACATCGTTAAAATTACGTGTCACGAATTCCTAATCAGATGCACGATTTTGCTAATTCCTTATCGGAGGAGCTCGCGCAATATCAGTTGACTGCCGTCAGCAGTCGCGACTAGTCGATTCGGGTGCATCGTAAACGTAAGTATGTACATAGTTGTATATTGTTGTACAGTCATGTAAACTGTGTAACATATATACCGGATCTCGTGAATGTCTTAACGTTCGATAGCAATTTTCTGAAGATATCTTCGGAGAGAATCGCGTGTTATTTTCTCAGTCACAAATCATGACTATTCGCTGCGAAGAAAGGGGGTCACAGCCATTCGTTATGGAGAAATAGGCAATGAGATTGACAGTTCTAGCATGTGACGCAGCATAAGGTTAAACGATAAGCACTGATTATTAGTCATTAAATATTAAATAAAATCATAAGAAAGACAATCTTTTAAACTTTTGCGTCATAAGTCGATTTTCTGCAAGTGTTCACAATTGCTCGCTCATAGAAAATAATGCGAGGACACCAACGTTAAGAAGAGTCAATTAATCTTCGTGATATTAAGTTAGTAATTAAAATTTAATTTTGACAACAGTTTCTTAAATTATATTACTTGTATTTTCTGGAAAAATTTATCAAGCTAGCCTCTATGTTTTAAATATATTTAATCCCGAGTTTTACAAAGTAATATTTCTAAATTAGCCTGGCTTTAATTTTTAGAATTTAATTTCGTGAAATTGCTTCGAGATTTATTTAATTTCAGTAATCTGAAGATCTCAATTACGAATTGCTACGGGTGCTAATTCGTTTGTTTAGGAAGGTCGCAGAGGGATGTGGCACTTGATCTTCTTGTTAATCGGCAGCGCGATGGCCGGCGAGTCCGGACCAGAGTCACCGCCGGAGTTCTCTGACGCGACGATTAAGATCGAGGCGCCGTTGCCTTATGAAGAGGCATTTCCGACTCCGCTTCCTGGTATGCTGTATCCCAGAGAAAGTGAATCTCGAGAGGTAAAACGTGACATCACAACAAGTTGATCTTTTAATGCCATTCGAACCTGAATCTGAAATACTCGGATCTGAGATAACCGGCTCATCTTTTCACACTTGCCAATTCAAAGAAACATCATCAATTCTCATGTTTAGAAATTCGCGACTTTCACCATTTATGTCTCACTTATCAAAAATAATTTTGAATATCTTTAATTCTGCGTCTCCAATAAAAAAATGTATTACATAATATAAGTTGAAAAAAAATTTATGCAATTTTATAATATTTAAATGATAAGGATTTTTATAATAAATGTGAATGCAAAACTTTGAACTGTTATTAACTTCTTTGTTTCTTTTTTTATAGGTAAGATCGCTTGATGGATTATGGGATTTTGTCGTGTCGCCTGAAGGAGATGCGTTAAAAGGTTACACAGAACGATGGTTCACCGATGATTTATCAAAGGTATCGTATTCATGATTTGAATGTGAAATAATAATTGACAAACATATAAAAATCAATAAATTGATATTAATAAATATTGATATGAACAAATAAATATTAAAAATTAAGTTTTTATTATATATCAAGTTAGAGTAAAAAGAATGTATAGCAAAAGAAAAATATGATTAACAACTCAATAATTAAAAAATTAATGTAAGTAAAAAGAAATATTTAATTAATTAAAATTGTGGAAAAACTTTAAATTAATTACTGATATAAAAATTTTCTCTTATCTTAAGATTGACATTTTGTTTTCAATGTTTTTTTGCAAACTATATGATACATAATAGTAAATTCATTTCCAAATATTTTTTTAAAAATCCTATTTGTAAATTTTTTCTGAAAACATTTGTGGAATTCAAAAAAAAACAAAAAAGTCTATCATTTTTACAAGTTTTTATTTGTTTTATTTCTTTATTCTTTATTATTGTTTATCTATTTGCTCGCTTTTATTATTTTTTATTGCGAACTCGGGTCACCAATTTTTATGTTGTTATGTTTGCATCGCAAGAGTCACGTGCATTTTATAATCTCGCGTAATAGCACGTTGTCCATTTGTTATTACTCAGTCATTAGTGAAGATCCGTTCGCGCAAGACTTGACCGGTTTTACAGGTCGGCGAAATGATGAAGATGCCGGTACCCTCGTCCTACAATGACATTACGACATCGCGAAATCTCAGGGATCATGTCGGTGGCGTATGGTACCAGAAAACCTTCTTCGTACCTTCTTCTTGGAGCAACCAACGCGTTTTCGTAAGATTCGGCTCGGTCCACTATCTCGCACAAGTGGTAAGTACATACGTATGTTCATACGAATTTTTCATTCTAAAAATAATTTTTTTAATTTATCTAAAGTATAACTTATCGAAAATTTAATAATTTGAGAATACGAACCAAATTTTTGTACATCAATTTAATTTTGAGATCGCTTTAAATTGAATTAATTTACAGCAAAATTTACAGCCAAATCTGTAGTCAAACAGAATATTGTATAAATTATTAAAGCTTATTGTATAAATTAATAGATAAAATATGAAATTTACTTTATAACTAGGGTTACGGAAAATATATTGAATTCTTCCGAAATAAATCTGGTTAGATTAATAAAATATCACTATCATATTACAATCAAAAATTATGTTACTTCTGCGATAGAGCATGCAACTGAATGTATCTGAATTATCATAACTAGAATGCATGCAATCAGATTTATCTGGTTGTCTCATCCAGAAGGCAAGTAATCAAATGTTCTGATTATCTTAATCACGAATCCTTTATGTGCATTTTGATGATGCAGTGGGTGAATAGCGATGTGGTGACTAATCACGAAATGGGCCATTTACCCTTTGAAGTGGAGATCTCGTCGCACTTGATCTTCGGCGGCAAGAATCGCATTACCGTTGCCGTAGATAACACTCTACTGCAGACCAGCGTGCCTCAGGGCAAGATCATGGAGATGGCCACTGACAACGGCACCAAACATTTACAGACGTATACTTTTGATTTCTTCAACTATGCCGGTATACACAGGTAAAAGTCCGATTGATTCAGACGAGATAAATTGAACAGTCAAAGATCAATTCTATTTATCTTTAGTACCTTCCAATTGGAAATAATTCCAACAACATTTGCAGCTTTAAGTAATAACAAGAGAAATTAAAAATTTCAATATAGTTTTAACATTACTTATATCTTTCATTTTTTTTTTGTTTAATTAACATCAAATTCATACAAAAAAGATGTTTCTCAATTCCTTTCAGTTTATTTAAAACAAATTTGTTTCAAAAATAAATTAATTAAGAGGAAAGAATTTCATTCTTGCAAATAAATCTTCAATTTCTCGAAAGCGGAATTAGTTTAAAAATACAGGTTTAACACAATTACCGGATAAAGGAAAAAATACGTGACAGATGTAATTGCGTTGTCGCGTCTCGCAATTACGTTACGAAGGATCTTTCGAGTTCTCTGAAGCGACACGTAAATTTCACTCGCCACAAATAGATCTCTATCAAGGGCTTTGTGGAATGAACAATTAGAAAGAATATTCCATA